TGCAGTTCTTGACTGCAAAGACAGGCAGGGTCACTCGTACCCCTTGGACCTCTATGGCTGCCTTGTGACAAACCCCTGTGATCTGTYGCTTTCTACCATCAGCCGTCTCCATCTCGAATAGATACGACTTGTCGAGGCTCAGCCCAACCTGCACTGCCAGGTCGTCGTCTATGATAACTGCCTCACTGCCGTTATCGATCACAGCATCAAGTATCGCTCCGTCGTTTATAACCGTCTCCACTGCCCCACTACCAAGTATATAAAATTTGTCTGGAGGCACACCTTCCATTCCATCGAGAAGGGCTGTTGTCATGCGATCCGATCTGGCAGTCACCCCCGTCACTGCTACTGTAGAAGCTTCCGCCTTAGGGGCCCCTTGCCCCTCCTCTGATAGAGGTATGCGAGTCTTGCGCGTGATCATCTGTAACTCATCGCGAGCCGACTTCGATGCCGCCAGGTACTCCAGAATAGAGCATTGCATGGGCTGTCGAAGGGCCCTCCTCAGTGGCTCGACCGTGTCAATCTCATCAAGCGAACTCTTCATCAAAAACTTCTTCATTCCCCGTTTCCGCGGCGAAAGGATAMCCTCCTCTCCATCAACTCGCTGCCCGTCCTTCTCTGCCATCACGTAGTCCGTGTCAGTCTTCTTCGATGTAGACCCTCTTGCCGACTTCGTGGCTGCCACTCTTATGGGTGTGGCCGCCATGTCCCCTTCAAAAGTTATCTTGATGCTCTGGCTCCTGATCGACTCCATTCTTCTACTCGTCTTTATTCTCCTTGCTTCGACATTCTCCTTCATCGAAGGGAACATCGATACATCTCCTAGATCATCTGCCCACTTGACGTACTTGCGATCGTCAAGCACGACAAGTCCCTCTTCTATTGCCCGTTTAARGTCCGGGCAATCCCTTTTGATATGATCTTCTCCCCTACAATAGACGCATGAGTTTCTGGGAGTAGACGCCCTGTCGTCCGCCCCCCTAGACATCGATTTTCTTGGCCACGTTGGGGTCAGGCGACTTTGGATATGGTTCTGATGAGACACCATATTCCCCCCTCTCATTCCGACTGCGTGAATCGTTGCGCCTGTCTCCTCTAGACCCCCCTTGCTCGTACCGCCCTCGCGAATCATATCAGCGGTTCCCCGAGTCAAATCGCCCTCGTGGCTCATCCCATCGGTCTCCTCGGTTGTACCATCCTCGCGACTCGTCACGCTGTCCTCTCACGTTTTCCCCGCGCTCAAACCGTCCGCGCGACCCATCTCGTCGTTCCCGGTCCCGATCTCCTCTCTCATACCTACCACCTCGGYTCGACCTCTCGTATCTGTCATCCCTGTATCCATCTCGTCGGTCCTGATCTGTCTCCCAACGGCCGCGGGAGTCGCCTCTTTCCCGATCGGCCTCATAGCGAGGGCTTCGCGGGTAATCGTCCAGCCTCTTGCTACGTACAAACTGGTCACGATCTCTGCGGTCTCGGTCTATCTCATTATCCCTACGTCGCCATGGCTCATCGTCTCTCTCTCTTACTCTCATTCGATAATCAGTCAGCGTCTGAGGGTTCCTATCCTCGATGCTCCTCCAGGGATCGCTGTTCCTACGGTCCCAGCGAAGTGAATAGGGCCCTCCAGGTTTGTCCCGGTACGCCGTGACCCCTGTAGTAGATACAATCTCAATAACCTGCCTCGTTAATCCCTTGACCATATCCCGTATCTCCTTCACTTCCTCAGCCAC